TTCTTTATTAATACAGACATATCTCAGTGAGATTACCACAGTGAATTAGGGGGAGGGCTGAATCAGCAAGTGCAGGAAAACTGGTTTTTTTTTTCTAAAGAAGGTCATTCTAGGGGCTGGTGTCAGGTTACTCCAGTACTTTCACTCCTGTTATCCAGCAGGAGATCGGGATGGAGCTCCTGGTTCCTTGTTGCATCCTAGCCCATCTCCACAGAACATGGCTGTTTAGAGAGTAAACCAGCTGGTGCAAGAGTTCTTCTACCCTCTCTTTCTCGCCATTCATTTCTCTTCTCTCCATAAACTCTGCCTATCAAAGAATTTTTTTTTTTTACAAAAGAAGTTAACTCTAATATCATCTTGGAAAATTAAGAGTCACAAAAGCATGTTAGTAATTTATTGCTGCATAAATATTCATCCCCAAGATTATCAACTTGAAACATTCTATCACCACACAGTTTCTGAGAGACAAGAAAACAGAGCACTAGCTGTGTGGTTCTGGTTCATAGTCCTCCAGCTAAGAAGTTAACTGTGACTCAAGTCACAGAAAGTTTGATTGGAGCTGAAGGATTCACTACTGAATAAACTACTGACAACACCTCTCAGTTACTACACGGGTCTCTGCACAGAGCATCCTGGTGACTTAACTGCCCCCAGAGATGCAAGAAGGAAACGAGTAACAAACACAGAAGTCGCGATGCCTTTTAAAGCTAAGCTCAAAAGAACATACACTGTCTGCCAATCCTATCACAATATGAAAGCACCACACAAGAGTGTAACAACAGATGAGAATCACATTTTATTTTTATTCCTACTTTTAATTTTAATTGATTTAAACATTTGCATAGTTATGGGGTACCATGTAATGTTTCAAAATATGAGCACACTGCATAACATTCAATCAAGTAAACATCATCAACCATTTATCCCTTCTCTATAATGAAGCACACAAATCTTGTCTTCTGGCTTTTTTGAAACACAAGGCACATTGTCATCACATACAGTCCCATTATCCTTATCACATAATGGAATATCGGAACTTTTTCTTATTATCCAAATGTCATAATACCCTTTAAGCAAAATTTCCTCATTTATCTTTCTCTGCTATTACCTCCAGGCTCTGGTAAGCATTCTACTTTCATCTTCTTCTGTTTTTTTTTTTTAAGATTTATTTATGTTTATTGGAAAGGCAGATTTATAGAATGAAGGCAATTCAGAGAGAAAGATCTTCTTCACCTTCAAGTGCCCACACAAGCTGGAACTGAGCCAATCCAAAGCCAGAAGCCAGGCACTTCTTCCAGTCTCCCACATGGGTCTAGACTCCCAAGGCTTTGGTCTGTCCTCTACTACTTTCCCAGGCCACATTAGGAAGTGGATGAGAGGTGGGACAGCTGGGACATGAACTGGCACCCATATGGGATCCCGCCACTTGCAAGGCAAGGCTTTAGCCACTGAGCTCTAATGCTGGGCTCTCAACTTCTCTTGAGTAATCTCTAGATATGGTTGAGATTATGTGTTATTTTTTCTGTGCATAGAGCAATTTCACTTAAAATTTAAAAATTAAGGTAATCACTTCTTGTTGTACCCATGTTTATGTAAGTTGTAGAATTTCATCCTTAAAAAGGGTCTCGGGGGATGAACGCAATGCATTCTATGTATTACATCTTCTTTGTTTATGTGGCGGAAACTTAAACTGTTTCCATTTCTTGCTTTTTGTGACTTGTGCTAAAATAAGCATAGGACTACAGATGTCTCTGTAGGTATTGGTTTTAATTTGTCTACATGAATACGCTCATTGTTGGGATTGCTAGATAGCAATATATTTCTGATTTTAATTTTTTAGGATATTCTGTGTTTTCTGCAACGATTGTATTAATTTGTGTTACCATACACAATGTTTAAGGACCCCCACATCATTTTCTGACACTTGGCTATCCTTTTTCCTGTTACATTTTGATTGAGGTGCAATGGTATCTCTTTTGTGATTCTTAGTTTACATTCACCTAATGGTTGGTGATAAGCAGCACCTTCCACATACTGGTTGGCTATTTGTATGTATTCTTTGGAGAAGTGTCTATTTCTCTTTTTTTTTTTTTTTTTTTTGTTTACAGTTGAGTTGTCTGAATTCTTTATATGGTCTAGAAATTAACTGCTTGCCAGGAATGCTGTTTCTGTTCCCTGTGTTTTGGGAGGCTTACCCACAAAATCCTTGCACACGCCAAGGTGCTAGAAATGTTTGCTTCTGCTGTTATATTTAAGCTGTTCATCTGTGTTTAGTTGATAGTTTTTTTCTTTATCTGAGAGAGAGCGAGCTCCCCAAGATTCACAAAGGGAGGGGCTGGGCCACGGTCAGAGACAGGAACTGGGGACTCAACTCAGACCTTCCATGTCAGCAGCAGGGACCCAGTTAGAGCTTCCACTGGCTATGTTCCCCAGTGTGTGTTAATGGGAAGCTGGAATGTGTAACCAGAGATGGGAATCTAACTGAGGAATTCCAGTATGAGATATGAGCATCTCAACTGGCAGGCCAACATTTTGAGTTTATTGTTGTACGTTGTGAAATGTATAGCTTGAGTTTTATTCTTCTACATGTAGATAGATACTCAATTTTCCTAAATGCATATATTAAAGAGAGTGTCCTTTAATCAATGCAAAGCACAGCTACCAACTTTGTCAAATTATCATTTGGCTCTAAAAGTATAGATTAACTCTCAGGGTCTATGTTCCATTTGGCTTTCTTATGTGTCAGTTTTCATGTGGAAACTATATGTTCTTATTATTGTAGACTTATAATTTTATGCTTTTCTTCTTTTTTTCTCAAGGTGAATCTTGCCATGTAAGACATTTGAGGGTTCCATGTGCATTTTATGATTTTTTTGCTAGGTCTATAAAAAAATCAAATGGTGTTTTGGTAGGGATTACAAGTACTTTGAGTAGTAATGACATTATAGCAGTATTGGTTATTTCAGTCCACACTATAGAGAGTATTTCTATTTGTGTGCCAGGGTAGGGGGAGAGAGTTTCTTCAATTTTTTGTAACAATGTTCAATAGATTTAATATCAGAGAGTGTTTATTTCTGATTAAATTTATCTATAAGTGTTTGATTATTTTATAGCTATTGTGATTGGGATTGTTGCCTTTATTTCTTTTTCAGGGAATTATGTTTTTGGCATATAGAAATGCTACCAACTTTTGTGTATTTTATATCCTGCAATTTGCTGCATTTATTTACTCTAAAATTCTTAATGAAATCTTTAAGTTGTGACAATATGACTTCCTCCTTTCCAGGGTGGATAACCTTTATTTCTGTCTCTTGCTAATAATTCTGGCTAGGACTTTCAGAACTTTGTTGAGTAATGATAGTGAATTGTGGATATGCTTAGCTTCAGTGTGATGTAAGCTCTCACCTTATTACATATGGCGTTCATTATGTTAAATTAGCATCCTTCTGTACCTAATTAGTTCAGGGTTATTATCATGAAAATTTGATAATTTGGTGAAACACCTTTTTTTATTCCATTAAGATGATCATATAGAGTTTTTCATTCACTTTGTTGTTGTGTTGTAGCATGTTTATAGATTTGTATATATTGGAACATCTTTTTATCCTGGGATGAATCCAGCTTGATAATGGTGAATGATCTTACTATGTTGTTAGATGTGATTATTTAGTATTCTGTTCAGGATCTTTGCATCTACGTTCACCAAGATTATTCTTTTTTTATTTTTCTACCTTTCTCTTTCTTTTTTTTTTATTTTTGTTTTTGTTTTGATTGTGTCCTTACCTGTTTGTGATTTCAGGGTAATGTTGGTGTCACTGGATGAGTTTAGAAGAGAAGTGTTTCAAAATGGTCATCACTCCAGCAAGCTTCTGTTTGAGAACAAGGTGTGTCTAAATGGATCAGAACCTTGGTTCAGGTACCACGAAACTCTACCCAGCCCTGAGTCTAAAAATAGAGAGAGAGAGTTCCTCCAAGATCCTGTGTAATGACTTGGCACCTGCCTCTCTTTTACTCCACCAGATGTGAAATTATTCTGTATCTGCTGTCTAGGGTTCAGGGAATAAGGATGATCTAAGTCCAGTGATCATTGGGATCATAGTGCTGGATCATATCCAGTGTATACACACTGCAAATATTAGTGAGGCACAAGTGTAAGCTTAAAGCCAAAACTGAGAGGGAGTTGTCTGACTCAAGTCTTGAAGCCACTGCAAACAGCCATATGTGTTGCCAGCTGAAATTGAAATCAGACAATAGGAAATGCAAGTTTCTTTCTCTGTTTTTAGAGATTTATTTATTTGAAAGTCTGAGTTACACAGAGAGAGGAAGAAACAGAAAAAGCAACAGAGAAATCTTTCATCCACTGCTTAAGTCCCTAAAAGTCTATAAAAGTCGGGCCTGGATCAAGTTGAAGTCGGGAGTCTGGAGGTCTGCCGAAACTCTTACGTGGGTGAAGGGACACAGCCTTTTGGATCATCTTCTGCTATTATCCCAGGCATCTCAGGTGGAGGTTTCACCTACTACAGCACAATATTGACCCTACAGGCTGCTTTCTTACAGACTTGAATTTGCAAAGACTCCAACCATCAGTCATTGGCCTTCATTCACTCATAATTTTAGCCCAGCACTGATTCTAAAGCAAAATCAAGTACAATCATATATTTATAGCGTTGTCCTACTCCCATTGGATAGAGCCATGCTCTGTACTGCACGGCTTGCAGCTGGGGAAGGTGTGGCACAGGTGGTCCTTTGGTCTTTGAGGCTAATGCTAAGCTAGATTGCATTTGAGTCTCATAAGAACCTACACATCTGAGGGGTGCATCTTAAGCCCACATTATAGCCACTGGAAATGCAGGTCAAAATATGAGTGTTTCATCATATATAGGTTTGTTCTTCATAGATTCCTTCTATGAATACTACATTAGAATAGGAGTCTTAGTTCTGCCATTCTTTTTTTTTTCACTTTTTTTATAATCCTTTAGTTTTCGTGTTGCAAATCCTGTAAAAATATGGAACATTTCACTACATTTCATGTCATCCTTGCACAGGGGCCAGATTTATCCTCTCTGTATTGTTCCAGTTTTAGTATGTGTGCTACAGAAGCGAGCCTGGCTGCTCCCCCCCCCTTTTTTTTTTACATTTTATAATTATTGCTATCATTTTATGATACAGTTCCATATTCCCTATCCCCTCGCCAATTCCCTCCCCCCCACCCACCTAGTTCCTCTATATTATTACTAACATATAGTTCTTCATACTTAGTCATATGTCCATCATTGGGGGCATGGACAATGGCAGAGAGTCCAGAATCCTATTTTCAAGATATAGTAAACAGTTTCATTCAAAGTCCATCTTTGTCTGGAAGCAGAAATGAATACCACACTGCATCCTCACATCTGGATGTTAGTCTCAATTTCATAGCTACTGTACATCCCCTTAAATGAAAAGTCATGACACAAAATCAACAATAGAAAGAAAAATAGAAATTTACAATGCCATGAAGTTATCAACAGGACTGGCACAGAACTACAAGGCAAAATTCTGCACTCACTTTGCTGTCTGAGGCTCAGCAAACAGAAACTTGCATCTTGTTGCATTTTCTAAGGTTGGAGGAGGGATTGTGGAATAGTTTCTGAACCATCTGGCTGTCAGGTATCGAGGGTCAGACTGCAAGCATTATGCTAGGATGGACAGGCTCCATAGGGGCTCCATCTGGCACAAAATTTCACCCTAACAGTCTTAGACACATGTTTCAAATCTGAGGCATGGACTCAACTTCATTGTCCTTCAAGCAGGAATCATCTTCCTTAAATCCTATAGGAAGTTGATGAGGAGGTACTGTGGTCAACTTTTTTTTCTTCTTGCCTTTTTCAATAGTATTTTCTTATTACTACACTAAAATCAAGCACTGTTACATTTCACTTGATTTTCTTCTCTCTTGTGAAGGTATTTTATTGCCCTAACAGACAATGAACTCATTGTTGCTATAAGGAGTTGATTAAAACATTTTTCTATTATTTATCTTTTAGATGACACAGTTAATATCATGAGACAACTTCAAGTTTTTGGAAAAGTGAAATTCTAAGATAACTGGAACTTTCCCTGAACTTTTGAAGACTGCTTGTGACTGGATCTAGGAGTCATGTTCCTGTGTTTACTTTTCCTATTCCAGCACAAGTGACAGAAAGAATGTGAGATCTAGAAACCTTCTCTGTCCTTCAGCATATTTATAATTTGCACATAGCTAATTAAGGTCGCAGAACTTCCATTTGTTCCCTATAAACTGGAGAAGATATTGCTCATCTTTTTGAAGAATAAGAAATTAAAAGCTTTTCATATCATGAACATTTTTAATCTGAAAACAGCCCAAAGATAAAATTCCAAGTCACTAGTAACAACATTTTTCACTTCCTTTTACATACTTTCTTTCATATAAAAAATAAGTCTCATTTCCCTAAAACTTGGACACTTATTAGATATTAGAAATAGCTATTTGCTTGTCTATTAATCAAGATTTCCATAATTTCATTTGAAATCCATGATAACTCTAGAAAATAATATTAACCTCATGATTTCAAGTTAGAGTGCGGAACCATTTCCAAGATCTCAATACCTACAATTCAACTGGAGATTCAGGTCTTGTAGGTTCAAATCCCACATGATGTCAGATAGGAAATCTTCAGCAGGAATGTGTTGGCCCACCCCCAAACTGAGCCTAATTGGATTCATACATCTTCTTGCAGTCTTTCCTAATCAAATTGTCATTCTCTTTTTGGGGGCAGAATCTGGCTCATTGGCTCTTCATTAGTTCAGTCAAGACTAACACACGCCTCCCAAGCACATTAATTTCAGTTCTATGTGACTTTTCAAACATATTGTGTTTTTTATCGTGATTTATTTTCTCTAACTTCTTTTGGAAGGCAGTTTTTCTGTACTTAATGCAAGGCAAAAGGGGAAAATATTTTCTCTCCAAAAATTCATACAGCATAGAGGGAAGAGGTCCCGACATGATTTTTTTTTTTTTCCTGCTGGGGGATTGCTTGTGTTGCTAGAGTAAGTTACTTTAATATCAACATATTCGTGTGTTTGCAAAAATGATCAAGCAACCTTGAAATATACTCACTGTTCAGTGAAGATTACAGCTCAACTGAAGGTGAAACATGATTGGAGCATTAATATTATACTATTTAAGTATAGAAAATTTTCCCCAACATCTAGATTGGCATAAAAAAAAAAAAAAAACCAAAAGCCCACAAATGGATCCTATGTGTATGGTCAATAGAATTTGATGAAGTTTTCAACACAATCCAATTCAATGGGAGAGGGGTGTTAAAGTGCTATTTCAAAACATTGTAGTGGGATACAACAACAAAATAGTATTATATGCATTGCATCTAGTATCATATGAGAAATACATCAAAATGATAAGAACTAGACTATCTAGATTCTAGAAAAAAAATGTAGGAAAGATCCTTGCCATTTTAAGAAAGGAAAGATTTTTGAGGCCTACATTATGATGTAGCAGGTAAAACCACTCCCTACAGCAACTGCAATGTGCATCTCTACTCCTGAATTAGAGAAAACCCCCAATAAAACTGTTAAATATTTCCTGACAATTAGACTCTGTATCATCACCTATACCTACAATGCCATGACACAAGTAAAGAGCAGAATATTGGAATCATGACTGTGGCTGAAGGACTGTACTGAGGAAAAATACAGGTGACTTTGGGGAAGAGAGAAAGGGCAAAATGAAAAGTGAGGGAAAGGGGGGAAGCCTTTCACCTACAAAACTGTACAAGGAAAAGAAGAAAACAAAGCCAAACCACACACAAATACACACAAATATTCAATGCATGCTTACATTTTGTAGTCAGAAACTAGAAACATTGCATTTCCATCAAGTGCTGATATTTTAAACATACATATTAAATATTGCACAGCACTAAAGAGATACACAACATTAACACAAATAACAAAGATGGTTTTAAAAATCAAACTGAAGCTTCCACAATGACTCAACTGGCTAATCCTGTACGTGCAAGTGCTACCATCCCATATGGGTGCTAGTTCATATCATGGCTGCTCCACTTTGCATCCAGCTCCCTGGTTGTGGTCTGTAAAAGTAGAGTAGGCGACTCAAAGCCTTGATACCTTGCACCAAAGGTGGGAGGCCTGTAACAAGATCCTGGTACCTGACTTTGAATTGGCACAGATCCAGCCATAGTGGCTATTTGGGGAGTGAACCAGTGGATGGGAGATCTTTCTGTCTCTCCTTTTCTCCATAAATCTACCTTTCTAATAAAGAAAAATAAATCTTCAATAAAATTAAAATAAGAAATTTGAGTTAGATAAAATTTAAATTAAAAGTCAAGCTAAGGGGGCAGATTTCATATGAAACACTGTGTTCTACCTTATTCCATTTACATGAAGTGCTTAGAAAACAATATTATGATGACAGATGGTAAATTAATGGGTAGCTTATAGCTGGGGACTAGAAGAAGGAGTCTACTCTACAGGATTTCAAGGAAGCTGTTAGGAGAGTGGAGACTTTTCTATGTCTTTATCTTAGTAATCAGTATAAGATTATGCCACTATTAAAATTTGCTGAACTACAATAAACATGGATAAATTCTGTTGCATATAAAATGACTCAGTGAAGTGTGGCTGAGATGAATAAATTAATACATCAAAATTGCATTCTTTTTCAGTGTGTAACAATATCACATCTAATTTAGTTAACTTTTTTTAAACTTTCATTTTATTTTTGTTTGAAAGGCACAATGAGTGAGAGAGAGAAAAGACAGGGGAGTCAGACCTTCCATCTGCTGGTTCACTTCCCAAAATGGTTTCAATATCAGCAGTAAGCTGATCTGAAGAAAGGAACTTGGAGCTTCTTCCAGGTCTCCCACTTAGGTGCAGGGACTCAGGACTTGGACCATTCTCTCTGTTGCTTTCACAGGCCGTAGGTAAGGAGCTGGATCAAGACGTGATCTGGCCCCTATCTGAGATGCTGGCACCACATGAAGAGATTTAGCGCACTATGCCATGGTCAGCCCCTAATTTAGTTAACATTTTCAGGGCTGGCATTGTGGCACCTGAAATACCAGCATTCCATATAGATAAGGGTTGGGTTCTGGCTGTTCTTCTCATCCATGTCCCTGTTAAAGTGCCAGGGAACACACAAGTGCTTAGGCTCCTTCTACCATCGTAGGAGTCTGGGATGGGAGTTCTATGAGCCTGACTTTAGTCTGCCCAGGCCTGACCATGTGGTCATTTGGGGAGTAAACCAGCAAATAAAGTCTGTCTCTATGTCTCTCCTTTGCTCTCTCTCTTTCCTTACCTGCACTCTCTAAATGAATAAACAAATCTTTTTTTAAAAAATTAAAATGTTCACAAGTTTTAATCCAAATCTCAAGTTTTATGCAAGGGATGCTTGTTTATTTATTTATTTATTTATTTATTTATTTATTTATTTATGACCACTAGAAGCCCTTTACAGGTTTGAGCAGTTGACAGGTGCAATTAACATGCTGAAAGTATACATAGAAAGCACAAGATAAAAGTATCATTGAATTAGATCAGAAGTATCAGGTTTTTCTTGGAAGAATAACTTTTAATCTGTGTAAATATAACTCATTGAAGTATTATGTGGTTTCCAGAAGTCAGTATCTACACATGACATTAAACAGCAGTCCAATCATCACACATGGAGATGTTAAGTGTGTGATGAATTAAAGGCATAATAATTTATCATAAACTTTATGAAAGGGGTTGTGTAGTTAATAAGCTCTTTTTCTGGAAAAAACTACTTTATGAGAGCAAGGAAGTCGAAGAGACTGATAAAAATGATCAGTTAAAACTGGAGGATTTTGTTTCAAAGCAGAATGGAGAAGCAGATAAGGTTAAATAGCATCATCCCCAGTGCAGTACCAATCCTCTAAATGGGACCAGGGGATCAGTCATTGCTGGCATTTTGTGTACAGTAATGAATGAAGCCGTGAAGGACTGAAACTACAATATGCTTAACATTTGCTCTTTTTCTGCTTCAATTTTCAACTATAGTAGTGGGGGCAGGCTGATCTAGGTCAGAGAGTTGCAACTGA